GTGTATGTACCATAGTTTGTTTATCCATTCATCTGCTGATGGGCACCTACGTTGTTTCCATCTTTTTGTAACCAAGTATCTATTCACAAGGCTTTTGAAATCTCAAAGGAGTCAGAAAGCATTATTAGGGGAGGTTTTATGGAGTAAGGACTTCCTGGGTGGTGCAAATGGTTAACATACTTGGCTGCTAAACAGAAGGTTAGAAGTTCGAGTCCACCCAGAGGTACCTAGAAAGAAAGGCCTGGTGGTCAACTTCTGAAAACTCAGCCATTGACAACCGTCTGGAGCCCAGTTCTACTCTGAAGAACTTGAGGTCACCACTGGAATGGACTCAATGGCAACTGGTTTAATGGTAGGATAATAGTAGTATTTCTAACATTCAAGGGAGTTAGACATGGCCAGGGAATATGCAAGTCAGATTCAACGTGAGAAGAGTTCTTAAGTGTGTTGTCAACTAGCAAAGAGTCGGAAAGAGAAATGCAGTGGGCAATACACAGCCTGGACCCTGGACACTGGCTGGACAGATGTGAGAAGCTTGAGGGGCTTTGGAGTAAGTCAATGTGATTTCCTGTTATGATGTTGCTAACTGACTGACATTTCTTTCAAATGTGAACTATGTTCTAATGGAAATTTCTATTCCACAGTGAGTCCAAACCAGTTTCATACCCTTTACAACACCTATACTCTGACCTCTTGAAAGTGTTAAAAAGCAAAGATGTCACTTTGAGGACTGTCATGGATTGAATTGTGTCCCCCAAAAATAACTGTCAACTTGGCTAGGTCATGATTCCCAGTATTGTTTGATCGTCTACCATTTTGTCATCTGATGTGATTTCCCTGTGTGTTGTACATCCTGTCACTATGATGTACTGAGATGGATTAGCAGCGGTTATATTGATAAGATCTACAAGATTAAACAGTGTCTTAAGCCAATCTCTTTTGAGATATAAAAGAGAGAAGCGAGCAGAGAGACATGGGACCTCATACCCCCAAGAAGGCTGGGAGCAGAGCACGTCTTTTGGACCCAAGTTTCCTGTGCTGAGAAGCTCCTTGACCAAGGGAAGACTGATAGCAAGGACCTTCCTCCAGAGCTGACAGAGACAGAAAGCCTTCCCTGGAGCTGACACCCTGAATTTGGACTTGTAGCCCACTAGACTATGAGAGAATAAATTTCTCCTTTTTAAGACCATCCACTTGTGGTATTTCTGTTATAGCAGCACGGAATAACTAAGACAAAGACTAAAGTGTGCCTGACCCATGCCATGGTATTTTCAATTGCCTTAGAGCCCTGGTGGCACAGGGGTTAAGAGCTATAGCTGCTAATCCAAAAAAGGTTGGCTGTTCAAATCCACCAGCCACTCCTTGGAAACCCTATAGGGCAGTTCTGCTCTGTCCTATAGAGTCCCTATGAGTCGGAATCAACTCAACGGCAATGGGTTCATATCCATGTGAAAGCTGGACAATGAGTAAGGAAGACCAAAGAAGAAGAATTGATGCCTTTGAATTCTGGCACTGGTGAAGAATACTGAATATACCATGGACTGCCAGAAGAACGAACAAATCTGTCTTGGAAGAAGTACAGCCAGAATGCTCCTTAGAAGCAAGAATGATGAGACTTCGTCTCACGTACTTTGGACATGTTATCAGAAGGGACCAGTCCCTGGAGAAGGACATCATGCTTGGTAAAGTAGAGGGTCAGCGAAAAAGAGGAAGACCCTCAAGGAGATGGATTGACACAGTGGCTGCAACAATGGGCTCAAGCATAACTATGATGGTGAGGGTGACCAGACCAGGTGTGTTTAGTTCTTTTGTATGTAGGGTTGCCATGAGTCAGAACCGACTCCACAGCACCTAACAACAACAATTTGTGCCATAAATTATTTTATTTCACTGAGTACCATCCATTTCCTTAAGACTAGAACCCCAGCTTTGTCTTGCCTGTTCTCTGTTGCGACATCTTTGCTGTGAACCTAGGTTTTGCCATCTTCTTGTCCCCTTGGACTTGACAATCCTGCCTTCTCTTGCTTCCTGTCTGCCCTCCCTTGAGATAATGATGGTTGGAACTCTTCCCCCTTCACCAGACCATTCCTGTGCTCAGTCCTGTCTCCCAGGCCTCTGTGCCTCTCGTATTTCATCATCTTCAACCCTAACCTACAGGAGGGGAGGTAGAAGAAATTCTTTTACTGGAAATTTCAAGATTCATATATGATAAACCAAGAATATAAAATCACTCTCTATGGCAGGAGACAATATCTGATTCCTTAAAATTTAATCATTTTGTAGCAGAACTGTGGTGAATGTTTTTTACCCTTATCACCAAAGGGGCACTTATGGGTCCTAAGTGGCAATGTGTCGCGTGCCCCTAGCGTGGAACTTGAGGTGTGTCAGTCCTCTAGAAGATCACAATGTCATGCTTTTTCTGCTTGGAACCATAACACTGTGTGCATGGATGACAGTTCAGAACTTGGCTGGGATATGGAGCCAGACCTGGTCCCTAATGGGAGATAGATATGGTATCCAAAGGAAAGTGGTTCAGAGAAGCACAGCTTCCCCCTGAGCATTACACAGGGCATCGGGGGGAAATGAGGAAAGGACCCCAGCAGATTTTAGGTCCCAATCTAGGGACATTCTCCTGGTTGGGGATGTGGGGGAGCTCAGTCTGACACTGCCATCTCAACGTCTCTATGCCCTTCAGAGCCTCCCCGTGCAGGGGCAGAGTTCCTGGAGCACATTCCAGTGCTCCTCCCTGATTCCAGTTGGAAACAGCTGAGGAAGAGCCTTCCTTTTGGAAATACGGCTGTCCTCCCTGCGGCGGCTGAGAATGGCCTGGGAGAGAGGTCAACAGTTAGCTGGTGGGCAGATTGTCATGTTACAGGCGTACAGAGGGTATTGGTTGTGGAGAGACATTCAAGGCAGGAATGTGAATTCACAAGGAACACAGACAAATCTCAGATTTAAGAGGTGCTGTTCACTTAATTATATATTAAGTAAAGCTGACCTAAGAGAATCTTCATTTGAATACTAATCATCTCACCTAACATTTATTGAGTGTCATTTACTAAGTGTCAGAGCTGTTTTCAGCATTTTTCATGTATTATTCCATTTCATCTTCACAACAGCCATATGAGATTAATAATAATATGAATAATAACATGCTTGACTGCTAACCAAAGGGTTGGAAGTTTGAATCAACCCAGAGGCACCAAGCAAGAAATGCCTGGTGATCTACTTCAGAAAAATTAGCCATTGAAAACTCTATAGAGCATAGTTCTACACTGACACACGTGGGGTTGCCACGAGCTGGTGGTTTTGATTTACATGGACCATAGTGAGAACTGTACTCCAGCCCATGACCCAGGGTCCCTATGATTTAATGTGATTTGATTAATGGGAGAATTTTACTATCATACTGTGATTGGCAGAAAATGTCTAGAAAGTGCAAGGCTTCCTTTCTCAATCCATGATCTCCAAGAGCCAGACCATATCAGGTGTGGGGATAGTACAAGCTGGTGGAGCAAATGACCTCCTTCAGAGGGTCTTCCCCGACTCCACCCTCTCCACAGACCTGAGGTTCTTTATGAGGTTCTTCACCCTTTGGCAGGCCCAGTCATCAAAATTAAGGCAGGAAACTGTCATCTCAAGGAGACAGGCGAGAAAGCATGATCAAGCACTCTTATTAGAGGTGGCAGGCAACCTCTCATTCAAGGCAGGAGTAGATCTGGAAGGTGGCTCAGCACATCTTAGAGAGTCTCTGAACAAACTGTGGATGGAGCATTCCTTCCAAGCTAGATAGCTGTCCCTGCATCTTCTCATGAATTCACATACCAGCTCTGTGAGAAGGCTATTTTTACTCCAGATAACCGTAACTGTATCCTACTGCCGTCGAGTCAATTCGGACTCATAGCGACCCTATAGGACAGAGTAGAAGTGCCCCACAGGGTTTCAAGGAGGGGCTGGTGGATTTGAACTGCTGACTTTTTGGTTAACAGCCAAGCTGAGAGACTCTGACAGCCCTGGACCCCATCCTTCTCTTGTGTAACCTGGAGCTAGGTACTTAGCCTCTCTGGGTCGGTCTCACTGGCCTCATCTACAAAATAAATAACACACTGCCATCAAGTCAGTTCCAACTCATGACGACCCCATATGATAGAGTAGAACTGCTCCATAGAGTTTTCTTGGCTGTAATCTTTACAGAAGCTGATCACCAGGATTTTCTTCTGTGGTGCAGCTGGGTGGGTTTGAACCACCCACCTTTAGGTTAGTAGACAAGCACAATCCATTTGCCCCACCCAGGGACCAACCGTAAAATAAATATCTGCTCCAGCTTCCCCTTCAATGGCTTGACTTCTCCACACAGCTGGTAAGGGGCATTTCTGCACGTGTCTGAAAGAGCCCCACAGGCCTGAACACCACAACTGCATGTCCGCGTGTAGTGACCATGGCCTCCCCCCACCCACTATTCTCTGTGGGGCCCCAGCCGACAGACACAACAAACAGAGTTACTCCTTTAGGTAGGAGCCCATTTCCATTCCACTGTCCAAACTCCCTCCTTCCTCAGGGTAACCAGCAGAGAACCATCAATTTTACATAACGGTGAGCTCCCCGGGGAATTGAGTCAGTTGGTGATCACACCGTTGGGACTTCCTGGAAAGCTGCCCCAGGACCACCCTGCCAGCTCGAAGGGAGAGTGCCACTAGCTGATGGAAGAGTGACATTGGGCTTTCTGTCTCCTCTCTGCCCTGCAGGAGGCTCTGTCGGTGGTGAGCGACGACCAGTCCCTCTTCGACTCCACATACGGAGCAGCGGCCCATCTCCCCAAGGCCGACATGACCGCCTCAGGGAATCCCGACTACGGCCAGCCCCACAAAATCAACCCCCTCCCACCACAGCAGGAGTGGATTAACCAGCCAGTGCGGGTCAACGTCAAGAGGGAGTACGACCACATGAATGGGTCCAGGTAAGGCACCAGGCCTGGGCTGCTCAAGGGCAGATAGTGTGCCTCCCGGTGCGGGTAGGGAGACTGGGGCATGCTCCTCACACTTTGGGCGTTTGCAGCAGATGGGGCTCAGTGGTGGGGAGTCAGTCCCTAGAGAGTTGAGACCAGAAAGGCAATAAAACTGAAGGCTGTGGTGGAGCAGAGCCAGGAAGCCCACCTGGCTCTCTGGGCCCCTGTGCAGCCCTCAGAGGCCCCCAGACCCTACGCAGATACCACGGAACTTGGTGTGAGGCACTGGGCAGATCCAGGCACATCCCATCTTGGAGATGACTTATTGATAAGATACACCTCCCTGTCCTGTTGTCCTGTTGATGATACTTAATCCCAATGGGTGGGTCCTGTCAGAGCACAGATGACTAAAACATTCTTTATCTGTTTTTTTTGTGTGTGTGTGTGTGCTAAAATTGTATATAACAAAACACTTGCCAGTTCCACCTTTTTTACAGGTGCAAGTCAATAGCATTAATTACATTCACCATATTGTGCAACCATCACCACTATCCGTTTCTAAATTTCTTCATCACCCTTAAGAGAAACTCAGTGTCCTTTAAGGGATAGCTTCCTCTTTTCTTCGGTCTCTACACATTGCCTAGTGTGGATATTTCATATAAGGGGGATCATGCAATATTTGTCCTTTTGTAACTGACTTAGTTTACTCAGCATGATGTTTTCAAGGTTTATCCGTGGTGTAGCATGTATCAGGACTTCATTTCCCTTTATGTGTGAGTAATAACCCATTTTACGTATGCACCACATTTTGTTTATCCAGTCATCTGCTGATGGACATTCAGGTTGTTTCCAGACCAAAGCAAGTAGCAAAGGTTCAGAGAGTAACAAGAGAGGTGAAGCATTCGAGGCTGACTGGGAGAGGGAGCGACCACGTGCACCTGGAAAGGAGGCAATGGAGGAGGGTGGTCAGGGAGAGTAAACCCACAGGGAGGACAAGAGAGAGCACAGCCTTTGTGCAAAGCTAGCCTAGGGCTCAGTTCCTGGCTTTGCCCCTTGGGTGAGTTGTCGAAGCTCTTTGAGCACCAGCTTCCTTGTTTCTAAGTAGGCCTGGGGTACTTAACCTCCGTGATACTGTAGGAAGAAGATACAGGACAGCGCCGAGGACTTGGAAAGTGTCCGATAGCAGTAGACATGGTTATGAGCCAAGGTTTGAAAGAGAAGACATAAGACTCATTCATGAAATATCAGAGAGTTCAAGAAGCCCATTGTCCAGGGAGATAAAGATGAAAAGCTAGAGAGGGTCCTGAATGGTAGGCTAAAAAAATGCAGAATTTAATCCACAGGCAGTGGCTAACATCATATGACAGTTAGCATCATCAGAGTAGTGATTTAAGATGGTGAGCCAACAATCATGATGCACAGAGAGTGGGGAGGGGAGAGAATTGGAATCAGGAAGATAAGCTAAGCAAAACCAAAACACAAACCCATTGCCATCAAGTTGATTCTGAAGCATGGTGACCCCATGTGTTACAGAACAGAACTGCTGCATAGGGTTTTGTCGGCTGTAATCTTTTGGAAGCAGATCACCAGGCCTTTCTTCCATGGCGCCACTGGGTGTGTTCAGACCAGTAACCTTTTATTTAACAGTGGGACACAAATCATTTGCACCACCCAGGGACGCAGATAAGCTAAGAAGTTAGTGAAATATCCCAGATAAGCAATAGTAAAGTTCTGAACTAGGGTGATGGCAATGATTATGGAAATAAAAAGGGATAGATAATTGAGAGACCTATCAAAGAGATAATAAACAGATCTTGAGTGAATAAATATTGAAGTGTGTTGGGGGTGTGTGTGAAAAAAAAAAAAAAAGACTCAGAGATGACTCTGAAGCCTGGCCATCTGGAAGAAGGAAGGTGCCATTAGCAGGCATAGGGAGGTCGGGGGGAGGAGATGCTTTGAGAAGGGAAGTCACTGTTCCCTTTGAACTTTGCCTTGAGCAATCAGTGAAACGTTCAGATAGAAATGTCTAAGAAGCTTTGTGACTGTGGGATTGAAGCTCAGATGGTGTCTTGGGGATGAGATTTAGATGAGGGCATCATCTGTAAGGAGTTTTCACTAGTAAGTGGATGAGTTCACCAAGGAAACAAGTCCAGAGAGAGGAGTGAAGCCGGTGAGCGTGCCGTGGGAGTGAGTCTCCTCCAAGCAGCCCATGGTTGTGGGCCTCCTGTGGGAACACCCAGCCCTACCACATTACGATCCCACTAACCAAACCAGGGCCTGGGATCTCAGCCACCTTCCCAGATTCTAGGATTTCAGGAAGACTCGGTGTTCTGAGCCAGGAGCAACATAGATAATCATGACAAGACTGCAGCTCCTACCAGTCACGAACATTTCTCCCTGTGATCCTATCCTTGGTTCCCCACCGCCATCCTGTGAGTAGGCATTATAGCTCCATCTTCAGATGGAAAGGCACCTTGGGCTCTGAGGGGGCAAATGACTGGTCTAAGGCTTTAGACCAGACAAAGTTGGCAAACAGCCCAGGCGTTCTGATTCCTGGCCCTGCAAACCATCTGCCTTGCCTCTCTCTACCACTCCCTGTCTGCCTGTATATCATGCTTTTGTAGTTATCATCTAACTTCACAAGGGGGAAGGAGAATCAAGATAACAGCCCAAGGCTGATTCCTGTGAGGCAGAGGTCAGACTTGCCTCCATGCTCCAACCTTTTCACCAATTCTGACACCAACCGTCCCTCCCACGGCACTCTCTACTTCTCTGCTGAGTTTGATAATTCGTTGAAATGGCCACACAGAACTCACAGACAATACACATGATTATGGGATTTATTAGGGAAGTAACAGGTTACAATTCAGGTTCAGGAACACTCAGGATACAGTTCTTAAATCAAGATAGCCTCTTCTCAGCCATGCCCGCAGGCAGGTCTCTTCCTGGCCTCTGCCCTGCTCAGGCAAGTGTTACAAAGCTCTTTAGCTTTGCCAGTAAGTACCAAGAGGCACCCTACTCAGCCAGCAAGACTTCTGCCCGAAGACAGTCAGCTGTCTTGCTCCATGGTCCAGGAAGCCCACCACTGTGCCATCTTCTGCTGGTCTCCAGCCTCTGCTGCCACCATTTCTCTGCTGCCACTTCTTGCCGTCTTCAGTGTTACAGCTCTCTCTCTCTCTGTCTTGGTCTTCTGGTTCCAGGAGCTTCTCAGCACAGGGATTCCAGGTCCAAAGGATGCACTCCACTCCTGGCTCTTCTTTCTTGGTGGTGGTGAGATCCTCTTTTCCTGCTTCTGGGGTGGCTCATTTTAAGCCTAGCAGGATAGCAAAACTGACCAGTCCCCATGGAAGGCCACAAGCACCTGATTTGCATAGTTCCGTCCAGTCATTTGGTGGAAGTTACAAAAACTATGGCTAGAAGGGCCACATTAAGTAATTTACTGCACTGCAATCTTATTTCTGCCAACACCCAGCCATGAGGTGGCCTGTTCAGCAATGATTCCCAAACTGGCCTGATTGTAAGAAGCTTCTGGTGCTTGTTGGAAGTCCAGACCCCTGCCCTTTTGGAGGGTCTCTGGTCTGCTGTAGCCTGATGGGACCGCTTCTCACCACCACTGCTCTACCCCACTCCAAGCCAGCACACCTCTCTCTCCTTATTGGCCACTGCCCCAGCCTCCTGTCCTCTCACTTCCCGCTGCCTTCCTGAAGTCAGTTCTCCATACAGCAGAAGGAGTAATCCTTGGAAAATATTTAACTCTCCTGCCTAAAACCCTTTAATGGCTTATGGCAAAATCCAGAGTCCTTAGCATGGCCTCAGCGTCCCTCCAACATCCTCTCGACCCCTCGCTCATCTTACTCCTCTCTCCACAGCAGCCACACAAAACTCCCTGGCCCACAATCACACTCCTGCCTCAGGGTCTCTGCCCATGTGTTCCCTCTTTCTGGAACATTCCCAGTCCATCTAGTCATATGACTCTCTCCCTCAGTTGTTTCAGGTCTCTGTCCAAATGCCACCTGACCACCTGATGTCAAATAGAAGCTCCATCACTCCTTAGGTCCTTGGATGGCACAAACGGTTTGCACTTGACTACTAACCTAAAGGCTGGTGGTTCGAACCCACCCAGCAGTGCTGCAGAAGAAAGGCCTGGTGATCTGCTTCCATAAAGATTACGGCCAAAAAAACCCTATGGAGCAGTTCTGTTTATTGGCTCTTTCCCTCACTAAAACGTGGGCAGGTCTTGGTTTTGTTTACTGAGCAGTGCCAAGCACAGGAGAGGAGCTTAATAAGCAGTGGTTACATGAATAATGAATGAATGCAAGCTAACCAGACTCACAGATGAAGGTGTGTGTTCAAGGTCATGCAGATAATTAATGAGCAAGCCGGGACAGAGACCCGCTGGTTTAGCCCCATGCATGCAGAGCCTGCATTTGCGCTCAGCGAGGCTGCCCCTCTGAGCTAACTGCACCCTCTCCTGCTACCAGAGAAGCCTCGGGCACGCCAGGATGCTAATCTTAGGCAGAGTCCCCCCTAGGAAATCAGGTTTTAGAGCCCACTTGTCAGCTCGTACCTGGCTCCCGTCACACCAGCAGCCAGCTGGAAGAGGGCTTTGTAAATACCTGGTGAGCAGACGTGCTCTTTACCTGGCTCCGGTCACACACAGCAGCCTCTGCTTATGATTTGCCTGTGTTGACCTGGGCCATCAGCAGGTGACCAAGTAGGTTCAGAAAGACAGATGTGTTCTCTTCCCCTCTGGGGAAACAGAGAAGATAGAGGGGGCTCCACAGAGTCCCTCAGGCCCGGCAGAGCCGTCTCCAGCACCTCATAAATATCCCCTAAGAGCTCACGTGTAGAGGGGCTGGTGGGCAGCAGGAAACAAGGATTGTTAGAAAAATGTCCTGCTTTGGGTGAACCCGTGTCAGGTGCTATTAGTTCGTTATGCAAAAATGGAATAACGTGGTGAAATAGATGCCAGACTATCTCCTGAGGGATAACGGCACTTGTTGCTTGTATAC